CTCCCCACCGCTTCGCCCCACCCCTCGCCCACTGCCTCCGCTTCCTCGTCGCTCTCCTCCTCCCCCTCCTCCCCCCCCTCCTCCCCCTCCTCCTTTTCCTCCTCCTCCTCCTCCTCCTCAGTCTCCTCCGCTCTCCCCGCGATTCCTTTCCTCCTCCAGGTGATCCTCTCCAAGCAAAGGAGGAGGATGAGGACGAAGGCCATTCCGGCCCCCGCTGGCCCCCGCTGCGCGCGGGCTCCGCGAGCCAGCCTGGCGCCCCCCCCACCGCGGCGAGGCGCTGTCTTGACGATCTTATAGCTTCTAGTTCGTTGAGAGGGCCACGGCATGGTCTGGGCATGGTGCGCTCACGCAGCACGCGCAGCCAGTCTTCGCGGTAGAACCAGCAGTCAATTCCTTGGCCCGACAGGCCCGCCTCTTTCGCAGAGTCAAGCAACGAGCGGCCCCAAGAACCGCAGGCGACGAGATGCAGCAGCAAAATGCGTTCGTCGAAGAACTTCGTGATACTGTCTCCCACCAAAGTATCCAGCCGCACGAGTGGCACGATTGGTGGTACAATCAGGAGTGGTGGCATAATCAAGCAGACCATCCAATGCTTGGTCCGACCAGCGGCGGTAGCAGCGGGAGTAGGCTGCACAAAGAGATGGTTCAAGAAGCATGGCGGCATAAAGGTGGTTCAAAACAAATTGCTGCATGAAAGGGTGGCTCAAAGAAACGCAGTAGTTCAGTCGCCATCAACCGCGAACAAGAAAAGACGTGCACGAGAAGACGCAACAATGACAACAAACAACGGTTCGGTGCGATAAGAATCCGCAATGGCAGCGGTGGCAGCCGGTAGAGGGTACCGTACGTCATCACCTACAGACGAAGGAGGAGGAAGATGAAAAGGAGCAGGTGAGAGAGATGGGCATCAGACGTCGTCAGCTGTATGCGTAGACCAATGTATGCGAGAGGAGCCTGCAGTGGCAACAGACAGATGCACAGGAGCTGGACATCGGAAGTCATCAACTGCAATCTTGGACCAACTTGCACGAGGCGCCTACGGTGGCAACAGATATTGGGGCAAGAATCGGATACAAGACGTCATCAACTAGTGGACCATGTATGCGAGAATAGTAGGCAGTGGCAGCAGATAGTGGCGCTGGATACCAGACATCTTCGGCCACAACATGGAAGCAGTGTGTGCAAAAAGTACTGGCAGCGCGAGCGGATGGTGGTGCAAGTGATGGACAACAGACGTAATCAGCTACATGCGTAGACAAGCGTCTGAGAGAAGAGGTGGCAAGGGCAAGAGACAGTGACTCGGGAGCTGGATACCAGACCCCACCAGCTGCAAGCTCGGACCAGGGTTTGCGCGAAACGCCTACAGCAGCAACATATAGTGGTGCAAGAGCTAGATATCAGACACCATCAGCTACGCGTGTGGACTCGAGTGTGAGAGAACAGGCGGCAGTAGCGACAAAGTATAATGCAAAAAGCTAGTTACCGTATACGTGCCACTATCAGCGACAGGAGGGAAACAACTTGTGCAAGAAATACGGGGAGTGGCAACAAATGGTGAAAGCGCTGGATATCACACGTAATCAACCACATGCGTGTCCAAGCGCGTGCGAAAAAGAAGCGGCCGTGGTTACCAACTTTCATCAACCACATACGTGCGAATGACGGCAAGCTCGCAGCCGTACACGGCCGCCACCGACACCAAGCGTCATTATCAGCTACAGGTCTGGAGCTGTATGTAACCAGGTTGACATCAGCTATAAGCTCGCAGTCACATGTGTAAAAACATGTGGCAGTGGCAGCAGGCAGTGGAGCGTGCAACGTGCTCAGCCGTTGCTAGGCACAGACTCGGCGCGGTGCGTGCGAGAGGTGCCAGCAGTGGCTGCTGCCAGCGGTGGCGACGACAGCCTCTGGTCGACCCAAAGACATGGACGATCTGGCCAACGCCACCAGCAAGCTCGACGACGCAGCCACGGCCACCCGGCTGCGGAGCATGCCGCGATCTGAGGCCCAGACCCAGCAACCTTATGCCTTGATATACATCCCGATGGAAAGATTAAGTTCGGAGTTCCTGGGGGAGGGTGACATTTTCCCCCGGAACTCGCATGTAGGGATGTACGGTGTACGGATGTACAGTGTACGGAGTGTGGTAACAGTAGTAGTAATCGCAAAAGAAATTGCAGTAGTAGTAGTAGTCGTAGTAGTAGTAGTAGTAGTAGTAGTAGTAGTAGAAATAGTAGTAGTAGTAATAGTAGTCGTCGTAACAATACTATTAGTACTAACAATAATAATCGTAGTGGTAGTAGTAGTAGTAGTAGTAGTAGTAGTAGTAGTAGTAGTAGTAGTAGTATTGGTAGTAGTAGTAGTAGTAGTAGTAATCGTAGTAGTAGTAGTGATAGTAGTAGTGGTAATAATAATAATAGTAATCGTGATAGTAATAGTAATCATGATATTATCAATTCTAGTCGTAGGGTCAGTAGTAGTAGTAGTAGTAATAGTAGTC